ACCAGCTAGGGTTAAAGACAGGGGAATTACCAAGGGTATTACCGAGAAACACTTTTTGGGTATGTCTATGTCCCTTTTCCAGAGGGACTTAACTAAGGAGGGATCAACTGTCCTGAATGTGGGTGGCCCCATCCCGTGGGCTGGGGTACCCAAATGAGTACAAACAATGAAGGAGAAATCAAACCGAGGATTGTCATTCTCTTTTCTCCGATTCCCGGGTCACTGATTCATCACCCCTGCAGCTCTCCCTCCACTCCCCTCCACCCACGACACGTTCCCGCCCCCAAGGAGCCACCATCGACGCGTCTCCGTCTTCCCTGGTGTAGCGGACTGCGTCCTCTCAAACTGTGAGCCGGAACACACCTCTCCTCACTGAAGCGGCTTCTTCTCAGATATTTGGACCCAGCGAGCAGAGAAGTAACTAATACAAAGGATTCAGTCCACGGTCAGCCGGCTCCACTGCCTTTAGTCTGTGATGTGGTAGGTAGGGCACCACGCCGTGGAACACGGTAGAAAGAACATCATGGGGCCAGGGGAGGACAGGGAAGGAGGGGGATGGGAGAGACGTAGTGAGAGAGAGAGATTGCGAGGGAAGAGGAAGGTTATGATGACAAAACATGCCTTTCGAAAGCATGTTCTGGTAACGAACTTCTTCCAGATGGGCGCTATCTCCTAAGGGCCCATTCAGCTACGAATTCATATTTGGGTTAATCCACAGGGGAAGTTGGCCCTCTTGTGACCCAATTACTTCTGGGATGGAGAGATGGCACTGGCTGCTCTTCCAGGGGTCCCCGAGTTCAATTCCCAGCCAACCACATGGTGGCTCACAACCATCTGTGATGAGATCTGGTGCCAATTACTTCTCAATAACACCACCAACTGGCCACCAAAGATGAACCTTTGGGGACAGTTCGTACTCAAACCCTAACGTTCTGCTCCTAGTCCTCGGAAGCTCATAGCCATCCCAAGTTAAAAGAGAAATGATTTTAGTTCAAGAGCCCCCCCCCACACCTCTCGGCATTTCCAGCGTCCCCCCAGGAGTCCAAGTCCGACGGTTTCCTTTGACAGTCAAGGTAAAGTGCTTACCTGTTAGCCTACGGGACACGAAAGCAGAAGACCCACAGTTCCCCATAGCTTAAAGCAAACCCACTCTAAAAGGAGGGATAGTAACACAAAATCGGAGAGTTGGGACAAGAGAGGGGAAGTGAAAAGAGAGCTCTGTGTCCAGGCCACACCCTGGCATGACTTGAGACTTGAGCCCTTGGCAGTCTTACCTTATGTTAGTCGCTGCACACATGGCTGCATTGCTGGGCTGGTAGTACTTGTACCTCTGAATTCCCTCTGCGCACGCGTTTCTGGTATCCCCAGTTTCTGGGGCAGCCGCCACAACCCCAGCTTCACACGTTGCTCTCACAGCCGCTGGCTTTAGTGACCCCGACTTCACCACCAACCGCTTAGCTTCCCAGGGTGGAAGCTTGGAAATCCGGGTGGAAGCCTCTCCAAACCCGTAGCTCTTGCATCCCGAGCGCTTATGAAGCCAGGACAATGGAGGGCACACCCAGGCCTGCTACCATCTGGAGTCTTGTACGCTTGAACCGTGGTTGGACTCTGAACACTTGGGTAGCTGAACCTAGTGAAATAAAATTTGGAGAGTCAAGTTCATAGGTGGACTGTGTGCACAGGAAACCCTTGGGCCCTGTACTCATCGTAATGTCTTTCAAAGAATTTACATGTGGAT